TGTAGGTAGTTTCCTGTTCTTGTGTTTATTTGTTTTGTTTGTTTTGTTTTGTTTAAAAGCCTGACGCTAAAGTGTACATCATTGTCCAACAGTACAAGTAATGGTGGTCTTTTATTTTGAAAATTTGACACTAGATTTTTCCTGTCAGTCAGATTTGCATAGGAAGGTTTCTAATTGAGTGAAGTGATCCAGTAGTATGTGCTTGGAAGCTATAACAAGAGCTGCCTGATTACTGTATGTCCAAACTGGGAAATTGAAACAGGAGAGAAAACAGTGTTTTTTTTATGTGTGGTACTTGATTACAAGCAGAGCTCTTATGTAAGATTTAACCATTTTTCTTAGAGAGAAACAAGATTTAACTACCAAAAGAGCTCAGATGTATCCATTAATCAGATAGAGATACTGATGTAATCTGCTTATAAAATGAACTAATTCACATGGGTCAAATCTCAGCCACTGATCCCACTTTTCTCCTCCTGTTTGGCGTAAACTGCAGCTAAAGTTGCCCTTGTAGTGACATTCTAAGTACCTGTGAATTAAATTTCTCTGAAATGCTTTGTTCAAAAATCGTCATCTAGGGTAGCTGTAACTCAAATTCCACCTAGAACAAAGAGTATAAAGTCTGCTGGCTTTGAGAGTGATACTGAAACAGAGAGGAAATTTGTATTAAGTTTTGGTGATTAAATAATGCAGGCGCGAGGTAGACAATTAAAAAAAAGAAAAAAGAAAAATTACAATAGTATTTTAGAATCTCTACAGTTACAAACTCTGTGTTAACAATTTTTGGTATCAAAATAAAGCTAACACTTGTGGGGCTTAATCATCCAGTTATTATTTCTGATGTCATTAGCCGTTTCTGGGTCCAAACTCCACTTCAGGTCCCTAAATAGTAAATGGTAAATGCCTGTATTGTATAGCGCTTTACTTAGTCCCTAAGGACCCCAAAGCGCTTTACATATATAGTCATCCACACATTCACACACTGGTGATGGCAAGCTACATTGTAGCCACAGCCGCCCCGGGGCGCACTGAGAGAGGCGAGGCTGCCGGACACTGGCGCCACCGGGTCCTCTGACCACCATCTAAAATGAAGATAACACTGTATATATTGTTTTTTACCTTTATGCTTTGTGTGAACAACTACAGTGTGTTTCTTATGAAATCCATGAAGTGCTATAGAGAAAATTACATTTTATTTATGTAATTAACACATTTTGAACATCCAGGCATCCATGAAAACAGGATTTATCAAATTTAACGGAGTTCAAAGTTAGCAAGGAGTTAGCTCGCTAGTTTCCACCTAAACATAATATACCATGTTCTGAATGAGGGATTTTTGAAAATGTACAGCTCTACTATCACTTCAGACATTAATGAACCTAGAACACTAAACAGTAGTGACATTTGTAAGGTTGCTAAAGTTGGGCTAGCTGGTTTTTAATGATGTTCTACGTGGTGGCTAGCTACACAGCTATGGTAGCTAGCCACATGCAGTGTTGCCAACTTAGCAACTTTGTCGCTATATTTAGCGAGTTTTCAGACCCCCTTACCGACCTTTTTTTGTAAAAAGCGACTAGCGACTAATCTGGCAACTTTCTCTGGTGTTATTGGAGACTTATTTATGACAACTTTTTGACGTAAAAGTGTGTATCGTTCTTACTCTCAACAAGCAGCGGGTGCTGCGGTGGGCACCTCGCCCGCAGTGTTGCCAACTCCTCAGTAAGGAAAATCGCTATTGGTTGTCCTACAAGTCGCTAGAAGTCACTAAATGACGTCATCGCCTAATTTGCATAATTGGTCATGCTAATAACATCGTGGAAGAGACATAAAATGAGTAAAAAACGTCCTAAATGCATTTAGAGTTTATTTAGAACTACAAATTAAATTTCTTTTAGCAATATTGTTTTTTTTTAATGTCACAATTCCAACCCTGCTCCTTTACCCGGGCTTGGACCGGCAAAAGTGACCCAAAATAGGCACTCTGGTGGAGTAAACTGTAAACGCACCAAACTTAAGTCAGGAGAACAACTGAGATAGATAATCTATCAACAATACGAGGTTAGTCATTAATATACTGCTGCATGGGCTGGACCTTAGTTACATTGTTAGGTTTTTAAAACTGAGCTTTAAAAAGAACAGTGGTAATAAAAACTGAGAGAGGCCAACAGTGATCACTGCCTTTTTTAAGAGTTTTTTTGTTGCCTTTTATAGCATATAACGACTCAAATGTGCTGCAGTAGACCAAAAACTGAAGAAAGCATTGATCAACATATAGACATCAACTGTAGAAAGAATTGTGCCGCTGAAGTGAAACAGAGCAAATTTACAGAGGTTTTATTAGAGACATAGCTAAGTATTTTACAATTTGGCACCATCTGTAAAAGTCAAAATTTCTTAGGTATTGAATAGAAGAAATTAACTTTCTTGTCAGAGGTCATTTTTGCAAAAAAAATGGTGCATAATGCGTCTTTGCAAGAAAATAAGGCAGAAAATAGCGGTATATGATGGGAAGATGCTCTTGAAGCCCACATGGGAGATGCAGCTATGCAGGAAAAGTGGCTGGATTGCAGTGCTGGTTCATTGAATGTTGGTTGGAACATGACAGATCTTGCAGTTTTGGAATCTGTGAGATCTGTGTTTCCAGCAGAGACATTGTTTGTTTGTGTCGATGCCATCAGGAGAACATGGGGATCCGCAAATTGTGTCTCTTTAATTCCTTGTTGTTTTAGTTGTTTTTAGTGATCATGGAAATTGTTTTGTGCACTTTTAGCTGAGATTCTGACATTTCTTTGGATACTGTACATGTCTATATTTGAATAACAGACCTGGCGGTACAGCCCGTGTTCCCTATTTGCACCAGGGGTAATGGGGTTCAACGGGTTAATCTCCGGCTCTCTTCTATAATGTGTCTATTGGCCTGTCTTCCTCCCCATTTTTTCCCTTTCCATTGTCCACAAGTGCTTCCTCAAAGGAGATAATCAGATTTTTGTGATTTTCTCTATATTATCGTACGGTCTTTACCTTATAATCTAAAATGCTCCGAGGCGACTGTTGTGATTTATAAAAGTAAATTGAGTTAAATTGAATGTTGGGTTGGTGTAGAGCAGCGATAGTGTTCATGGTCAGTCTAAGAGGTTTACACTGTCTAGGAGTGGGAAATCAGTTACGGTAGTTCATGTTACATCTGCTTATATAAGTGGAAGACAATGGATGGATGGAATCTACAAAGAGTAGCAGCACAGCTCTGCTGCTCACAGACTGCAGGCAAAGAAATCTGGAAATTATTGGGACCTACTTCTATGTTCTACAATTATTTTCTTTTCTGCACTGCTATAACATCCCACCTACTGAATCCCACTTTAACCCCTAAGGTGTGGAGACAAAATCACCAATTAACAATGTAGATAGCAGCAAATAGTTAAATTTTTTTTTAAATTCTCATTATTTTTCTATCTGTGTTCTACACAATAGATATTCAAATTGAGTGTAAAATTCTAGCTAAAATAGGTTTTAATAGCTTTGTGCAAAAATAGCTTTTCCAGGGTTTCTGGTTGATGAGGGGAGAGCGGAGCCTTGCAGAAACAGGACTTTGCAGGACTCACCAAGTTTGCAGAGCCAGGAAACCAGGATCCACAGGGCCACCAGGTACGGGGTGGTGACATGATGCCACTTCCAGGACACAATAGGCAGTGTAGTGATGGGCTCCACTGCATGGCCACCTTCTCCAGTTGTTCCATGGTTTGAGCTCAGTGCATTGTCTATTTCTGGATTAAGGGCTTTTACTTGACCACTGCTTGATAAGGTTTGATCTGGATCTTCACCCGCAAGGCTCAAGCCTCTACACACCATCAGCAGCACGCAGAGAAAAAGTGTAAATCCCCAAGAAGCTGCCATTTTTGGATAAAATCCTTTATAAACCATCAGCAAACTATTGTGTAGATTGTTGACATAAATGTTCCACATACATCCACCTCTTCTTCTGACCAGAGCATAGTATCCACTCTCTGCTCTCCTGTATATCAAGGATACAGCTTTTCACAGCTCGTGAAACACAGCCCATTATGATGCTGGTCTGGCTCAACCCACTTTTGTACCCAGACCAGCAAGTTTGGTCACTTTACTCAGAGGTATAATTTAAGCCTGTGAATGGCTTTATTAGCAGCTTCTCACCAATATTAAACTTCTCAGATGGAGTTGATTAAAAATATTTTTTTTACATCCTTTTAACCTCTTAAGCCCCAAGCCTAACTGATCTCCTGCCTTTAGCCCCCGTATCAGGGGGCATTGGGGCTTAAGAGGTTAAAGTTCTTTTTCATGCAATTTTCGATAATACACTTAATCAGTTCATCTCTCCATTTTCTTCCATTTATCCAATTCAGGGTTGTGAAGGGTGCTGGGGAGGGTACACCCTAAGAAAGTCGCCAGAGCTAACACAGAAAGACAGAGAAACAGTCACACCTATTCTATTTATTAGAAAATTAAAACAATACAAGAAATTAAAATGGGCACATCAAACTCATTTACACCTGCAGATTTTGATTCTCAGACAAGAGTAGCTTTGCATTATTCATGGTTCATAATAATCCTCATTTATACCCTCATTTATCTTCTACTGGCCCTTAATGAATACCTCTTAGTTCATCATCTGCCTTTAAACCAACTTTTTCCTAATTGTTTGACCCACTGAAACGGAAGGTGGGTGGAGCATCTGAGATGACCATATTTGGGATGTCCTCTCTTCCTTCCGTTGCAAGAGTCAAAAGTCAAAAAAACAGAGAGCTTTCAGAGCAGGCTGGAGCCTCACTAAATAATACTAAGAATCTGCATTATATATGCTGCAAATGTTTAAATGCATCCCACTAAAATGTGTTTGCATCATTGACCTATGTAGCATTTTATTTGTTAGTAATATTTCATCTTTCACACAAAATAGTGCCCCAAGTGGTGAAAGTTGTTGTGGTATTCTGCAATACGAATGTATGGATTATAGATTCAGAAAGTATTTTAAATCACTGTTTTTATAATTGATATCTACACGTCATTTGAAAGGTTTTTACATAATATTAAGATGTTTTGAAAAAAAAAACCCTTAAATAATAATTTTCAATAGCATGTTTACTACAAACCACAGACTATATGACAATGTTCAACATATATCTAATGTTGAACATAAAGGATTTGTTTCAGTGCAGTTTTTCTTTTGCCAAGTGAAGGGTGAACCTAAAAACAGCAGGGGTTGTTTAAAGAGGTTATGTAAATGTTTTGTGTAGAAACACAGGAGCTAACCATAGTCATGGAAAAATAAACATTTTCTTGTCAGTATGAGAGTAGATGGTTAATTAGTCTGAGGTTTGTTTTCTGTCTTTGTTCCAGGTTCAAGTGAGACAGAACAGGGTGTCTGCATTGGGATACAGTTACATTTGGCCACTGGGAGGAGGAGGGGGAGGAGGAGATGTTGGTGGAGGGGGCAACTGATCATTGTTCATCTGCTTTGTGTCAGTAGAGCGAGTGCTGGCACGAAGAAGCCCCAGGCGGCGCATTTCCATAGGTGAATTGGGAAGATTCGCCTGGGCTCGCAATGACGGAGCCACCATGCTGCTGTCGGGTTCACTCTCTGCCAGCCAAGGAGGGATCTCCTGCAACAAATCCGTGGGGTACAGATCTGGCACGAAGGCTGGGTTCTCAATCCCACCTTAATGAAAGAAAAAACTGAATCAGTACCTCAGGGTTCAATATTAGGGCCACTGTTGTTCTCTGCATTACATTTTCATACAAGTGAAACCATTATTGGCTGCTCATCCCTTGCGCTTGTGGTCTATCCACTTTAATTCAGCTTAAACGTTTAAACTCAAATACACTCGCTGTTCTGGAGTTGTTGTTTTTTTTTATTTGACATTTATACATAAACTCAACTGTGAAAGTGTTTTATAGGTGTTTGCTTGCAGAGTCAGAACAGTATTAGGAAATTCAAAATAAATTCTATGATAATGAGCTGCTTTCATATTTGCACTGTAGCCCTAAACTGTTCCCAACAGGTAAGAATGGAAATATTCAACACAGACGGATCGAACATTTGCTGATTTTAAACCTGTCAGCCCACTAGTACAAAGTCCTTGTGTTGTATGACAGTCTGGTGCCTTTACCCTGCAGCTCACCCTTACATAACCCTTACATACTTTTTGTTGTGTGGTGTGGTTTGTGGCTCATCTGCAGCTCTGTAGAGACCTTTCTACCACACTTTTATATTTCACCTTTTTTGGGGGTTTTTATTGCACACAAACTGTCTATTTAGTTCCCTCTGTTGTATGTTTCCCTAATCTCTGTGTTTATAATAACAGCATCTGCTACTCTCTTAATCATTCTCAAAAATATATGTTTGGTTTCATACAGGATGTAGAAAGTGCATTGATCTCACCTCCTGGTCTGTACGTGGCTCTCATGGAGAAAGAAGGGTATGACGAGTCATAGCCAGAGGCGCTATCTCCTTCTGAGAACTCAAAGTCTAAAAATGAAAATGAGAAAATTAGTTTGCTAAGACTTTAAATCTGAAAAAAACAAAAACACAAAAAACCCCACAAGCAGACAAACCTTCATCACCAGAATGGCAGAGTTTAGTCTTGCTCACTGACTTTCCATTTGGGGTCTGTAGAACGAAGGAGATTTATTTAATCACATATGATGTTTAAAAAAACTGAAGGTAAAGTAAAAGAGACAAGATCAACGCCCTCAGCCATGTCCAACCCATAGCGATGTTTCCTAGTTTGTCTAGCAGAGGGCACTCTGCAATCACTTATCAACAACAATCAATTATTATTTATTCTTGTTTGCCACATTTCTGCATATCTCAAGTCCTAGTTCCTTGTTTGAGTTTCTGATTATTTTGAAAAGTGTCTGACTTAGGTTTATTTTGTATCGTTTATTATTGCTGATTATTGTTTTCTTAGTCTTTCCTTTGTGCCCCATTGTGTTTAGCTCCTATCTTTCCTTTGGCATCTTGTTGTCACCTGTGCTTTGTATTGAATCTAATTCCCTTGTCTCGGTCTCCTTGATTTGTATTAATGTCTCAGTGTCCCATTGTCCTTTGGCAATTCGCGCACAAATCTGTGCACTTCCAAGTATTGTTTAATGCTTCCTTTTGTTTTCACTCCATGTCTAAATATCCCTTATGGCCATTGTTGTGTTGGCTGTCTTTATTGTCTTATTGTATTACTTTTTCTCTTTTATATTTTTATTGCTGCACATTTTAATTGTTTTAGTTGCATTTTAGTTTTTAAAGACTTTGTGCAGCATGAGCTCTGGGAAATGCGTTATATAAATAAACTTGACCTAGATAAATGACGCACATGAACAAGAGGAGCCTATAGATAATTTATAGAGCTGGGGCCCGTTCTTCGTACCTCGCTAAGTAAGTTAGCCGGATTTGACTGTTGACGATTTCGCGTGATCCTGGATCGTTCGGTTCTTCGAAGCCCATCCGGGACTTGCTGTCATAGCAACAGAGCCGTAAGCGTAAACCTGCTCGGGAGCAGGTTTACTTTATGTAAACAGGATTAGATCGCGGCCACTCAGGTATTTCCGCTTCATGTATACGAAAGCAACAGCGATATTTTACCACTGTTGTACCATAAATAAATAACATCAATGTAACTAAAGATAATGCAGCACTTGATCCTTTTATTGATGTCACACAGATACATACAGGTCATTTCCTAAAAAAGGGAAATGTACTATTAACATTCTATTACATGTATGTGATTATTACAGATGTAATTCAGATTTCAGAGTAGTAATTGTAAATTACTTCGTGTAATCAAGATGAGAGACCACGGCTATAAAAGCGAAGGTGGATTTGGGAAGTCTGTCGCAGTCATATCCTGTCCGTATACGCGAGCAGCCCATTGCGGAAGGTGCAAGATTGATAAGGAGAGTCCTCAGAATTCAGCGTATATTGCGGGACAGACAGGATCCTTTAGCTCAGCGCGACAGTGTGCTCATAGAGAGATATCGATTTTCCCGTGAGGGTATTATTCACTTAACCAACTTGTTGACGAGGGGGTGCAGGACCACCACCTGTCTTTTTTTTGCGCTGCCCCTTTTCTTGGTTGCTGTTATAAACAAACAAACAGATTATTTCAGGGTCTCTGTCCAAGAGACGAAAAGCAATATAAGTGATAAATATTACCATTCTGTAGAATATTCTTATATTTCACTTTTACTTGTTCCCATGTTCTAGTGGGTCCTGTTGTGGCTCTAATGTGAAAGGGGATATAATATAACATAATGTAATATAATATAATGTAATATAATATTGGATAATATGGTGTGATATGATAAATCTACCCTACCACCTACTGGTGTTGGCCAGAGGGGCCGATGGCGCAATATGGCAGCCTGGCTTCTGTCAGTCTGCCCCAGGGCAGCTGTGACAGCTACCAGTGTGTGAATGTGAGAGTGACTGAATAGTGGCATTGTAAAACGCTTTGGGTGCCTTGAAAAGCGCTATATAAATCCACTCCATTATTATTGTTATTATTAAATTACTTACGAGTTTAATTTGTCAGCAACTTTCTGCCAGCCCTCTCTCCTTGCTTTTGCAGCCTTTGCAGTGTTCCCTTGCGTTTTAATTAGACTCTGAAACTCCTAAAATCCCTCACTCAAGAGTTCTTGCTCTGCTGCCGAAAAATACCGAGCGCGCTCCTTCGACATTTTCGCCGACCAATCAAAGGGTTGCCGATCAATGTTTCTACTATCGATGCGTAGCCCCTGTTGGGCCACCCAGTGATCTCACATTACTTCATCCAGCTATACTAATCGTCAACAACAGGTGTGTTCGGGGAACCGGAATAGCGAGCTCAGAGTTAGCGCGATGATTTGATCTTGGATGTGTCATTTGATCTTGGATGTAGTAAGCGACGTACGAAGAACGGGCCCCTGATCTTGGAAAGATCCAAGTTTGTTTGGCATAACAGTACATTCAGATCATGGTTCTGACTGATAAAGCTTCCAGGCAGGATTTAAAAATTAATAAAATTAAATGTTTCTTGACATCAAAGACAAAAGAAGAAATATAACACAACGTGCCTTTAAAAAATCATAAAAACAAAGAAACTGAGGCAACATGAAAAAACTGTTCCATGGTCAGATGAATTAAAATGTGAAATTCTTTTTGCAAGACATGGACACCACATTCTCAAGACTAACGGGGAGAGGGACTCTCTGGATTGTTACCAGCACTCAGTTCAAAAGGCTGCATCTTGGATGGTATGGAGATGCATATGGAAGTGGTTGCTTGCATATTTGGAAAGGCACCATCAGTGCTAAAAGGTATGTATAAAGGTCAACATACAGTATGCTCCCATCCAGATTACATGTTTTTCAGGGAAGGCTTTGCTAATTTGCAGATTGCTATCACAGCAGCATGACTTCATAGAAGAGTCTGGGTGCTGAACCAGCCTGCCTGCAGTCCAGAACTTTTACCAACTAAAAACATTTGGAGCATCATGAAACAGAAAACCATAAAAAGATGACGTAGGTCTATTGAGCCACGCAATATTTAAAAAGAAAAGGACAACATTTCTCTCTCAAAAGTCCAGCAGCTGGTTTTCAGTTTCCAGACCACTGTCTTGTACCAAGGATTTTCAGTACTACACTGAAGTCAAATGGAAAAAAAAAAACTAAAAATGAAGCTTTGGGGAAGGACCGTATTTCCTCTTCACTGGACTTCAGAAGAGACATAATCAACTCTGCAAACAGTGGTAGGGTGTGCTTATTCCCTCTTTTTGTCTTTACCTTCTCCTGCTGTTCTTTCTTTGAGTACTTGACAATTGTCTTTGGAGGTGAAACACCCATCTTTGCAGACTTGAATGACTCCAACCGGTTCCTCATGGTTCTCTGGAAGATCTCCTGGACTTCTTTCTCATCTCTGTTGATTTTGAAATCACTGCGACTGAACCCGTGGCGATACTATAAACAACAGAATGAGAAGTCAGTTTGTTACTGCTTTATAAAACAGAAACCAACAATAGTTCAGGAAGGACACAAAGTCAAGCTCAGCCACAGTTCAAGCAAATAAGCTGAGGATTTGCATATATACATAAAATATACATTTGTCTATAGCCAGCCATAAATAACAGTTTGTTGTTTTTAGTTCACATACACCTCAGTAATTTAATGGTTAAATGGACATGTATTACTAGGATGCTTTAGTAAGTCCCTCATGCAATGACTGAATTTGCTCATTACCTGTTTTCTGCTCTTGTAGAGATGCTGATCAAGAAGGTGGTGAACATCAACTGCCTCAGCTCCCCTCATAGCCTTCATGGTCTGCTCGTGCATTTCCAGGCTCACTGATGGAATATGGTCTCTACTGCAGAGGAAGCCAATCATGTCACTGACTTAAAGCAATACAACAATATCAAAAGAGTCTGGTTTCATTTTTAAAATATGGTGGTGAACGGAAGCTGTTTGAAGGCACTGAATAGTTGCAGTAAGTTGTGTCTATTAAGTAGGTATAAAAAGTATTGAATGCATCAAATCAGTACACAAATTTTCTAATTAAATATATTTCTAAAGGTGCTATTAATATCAAATTCTCACAACATATCTGGAACAACCCATCCAATCCACACATACAAAGACATCAAACTATGCATGTCCAGAAATTAACTTATGTATAAAATGAAAAATGACACAAAGAAAAAGCATTGAACACATGAAGAAAGGGAGATGCAAAAAGCCATGAAAAGTCATGACACCAGCAATTAGAACGCAATCCAGCCACTCAGTGCAAATTAACTTCAGCTTGTTCAGTCCCAATTGATGGGTTATAAACTGGTGTCTCATTATCAAGGTGCCACACGGCAAGCATCTCATGATCAGTGAAACCAGTGAGCTCTCGCAACACCGTCAGAGCATAATTGTTGCAAAACACACTGATAGCATTGATTAGAGAAGATATTTTGAAATTAGTGAAGGTTGCAGTGAGCACTGCTGGGGCCACAATCCAGAAGTGGAAGGAACATCATTTCAGCATAAACTACCCATGACCAGATGCGCCTGGCAATGCATGTGACTAGTTTCTTGAAACCACGAAGACTTTTGTACAAAGCATTAAAAAAAATCCAGTAAGCACTTTATCCCTGTGTCATTTCTCATTATTATACATAACTGAATTTATGGACATCAATAGTTTGATTTCTTTGCATGTGTGGATTGGATGGGTTGTTACTGACATCTGGTGAGAGTTTTATTTCAACAACACCTTTAGAAATATATTCACTTAAAATCGGTGACGTGTTTAATACTTATTTTACCCTCTGTATATATTTTCACACTGTCATAAAAATCCAGATTGCTCACCCCATAGTGAACATTGCACCATGATCATTTATCATGTAAGGTGGGATGTCAGGCATGACCTCTGTGTATTCACTTTCCAACTTTTTCTTGAAATCAAGAATGGCGCTGTCATTACGGACAAACTCCAGAGAGCCTCTACGCTCGCCCTGCAACAGAAGACACCAGCAGTAATCTTCTCAGTTTCATTTAATTTGTACTTGAGCAAAACATACTTGAATTTGCACAAATGATTCTCACTTCAGTCACATATTCCATGGCATCCTTGAGGTTCAGCTGATGGAAGACATCAAACACGTCATCTTGTTTCTTCCTTGCAGATGGCTTCATCAAAAATGGCGTCATCCACTTCTCCTCAAAATGCCTCCACCTTTACAAAAAGAAATATCACTGTTGCTTACTTTAAAATTAAAAGGCATTTTGGAATTATGTATTAAGTCTTGTACATACTTGCTCCTGAAGTAGTTATCTCCTATTTGTCCTGATATGTCTTCGATGGCAACCAGAGTGTGATTAAACATCTAAAGAAAGGAGAAGGACTTTGTAGAAACTGGGCGGGAAACGTTTTTGTCGGTGAAACATGACGTGTTTTATTAGATTTACCTTGTTTGTAATTTTCTCTAGGAGTGAGACCTCAGTTACTGCAGCTCTCTTTACTTTAAGCCACATGACCAGAGGTTTCATCGTTATTCCCTGTAACAATGTCAAGCACAAATGTGCCAACAAAATTAAGCTCTAACACAGACTGTGTAATTAACAAGCAAACTAATGTACACATATTTTAGCGAATTATCAACTCCAAAAATTCACTACCTGCAAGATGACAGTGAAGTACACCACAATGAGAGTAGTGCAGATCATCAGGTTTTTCTCCTTTATCTTTTTCTCATCCAGCAACACAGCCAGGCCATACGCAACAGCCCCTCGTAGGCCACCGTAGCTCATGATCACCATATCTATTAATTCAACTGGGACCAGCCTGTACCTGTTAAGGATCCACTGCAGGAAAAACACACCTGGAATAGACATACAAACACACACAGTTATTTAAAGACTTCACACATCGGTGGTGCTTTTTGCTGGATTGTTGAATTACGCTTTTAGTAAAGCTCAGCACTCAAGTCTAGTGTTTTCTTTGCCTCATACTAATCTCATTGTTGTCCCTCTTGTGTACAGACCTTTCCTGGATTTTCCCTGCCGCACAGTGTTTTTAGAGACAGCCTGAGCAGAGTAAATGAGAAGACATTGTTTGGCTGCCCCTTCCCCTGGATTCCTGGAGCCCCTATTTTCCCTTATCACTACCTGTATGTATCACTCTGGTGTTTTCATTGTAAATAAGCTCACTAAACTTGAATACTGTGAATCCTGCCTCTGAGTCCGGTCGCTCAGTGTTCTTGACACACGTATTCTTGTAAATGTGTGTCATTTGATCTTTGTGCTGCAGCAGCAGAAGATTTCTTTGCATAACACACCAAGTTTTTACCCCACAATGTGTGTGATGCTTTGACTCAACAGTGATAGCCAAACAACAAAATCTCACCAATGAATCTATACACAAAGACGAAGAAGACTGTGAGGAGGATGAAGCCCGTGTTCCAAACCCAGATAACCTTATCGATGGCCGAGATACCGAGGAAAACAAAGATGATGGTTTCTGATCCGTTGGCGAAAACCTTCATGGCATATTTGACTGTTTGGACGGAACTCTCATCCATGTTTGCTCTGACGTACTTCTGACATAACACACCGCAGAATGTAGTCCTACAGAAGGAACCGCAAAGTAAACTCTAAATATGTTTACCTCATTTTTACATATATAAAATGGATACAGACATAATAAAACAAATTATATTTCAGTTGTGAAATACTCACGAAAGGATAGCAGACAGAGAAAGCATCTCAGCAGTCAGGTAGGAAAGGTATCCCATGACAAAGATGAAGCCTGGCTCGATGATCTGGATGTTTTTTGTGCATCTGGTCAGAAGTGAAATTAGTATGCCGAATGCTATGCCCACAAGGGAACCACCAAATGCAACCACAAAGAAGGAAACTGTGGAGAGAGAGGAAACATATAAAAATCTATTTTTTAGTGCCATTGTTTACTCCCCTCTAAAACATACTAGCCTTACAGGGCAGTGATAGCATAAAAAGTGTTTAATTTATTTTGTGTCCACACCCGACAAATCAAAATGGTCAACACATTTGTGTGTTGCAGCAGGGACACTCTACACTGTCTATTTTGCCAGACTTGACTGTGAGCAATTACACTGCATGAACAAATACATTTTCTTTTACCAGATAAATGTTATAGCTTACCTATTCCTTTAATAATTTCTGCTGCATTAATTCGGCCTCCTCCCAGCGATACAAATGCATCAAACACATTAAAAAGCACCTAAGAGAAAAAAAAGAAAACTTATTGAGTGATCAGTATATATAAAAGAAACAAACAAAAACTGTCAGCGTTTGGACAGTCAGACTGGAATGTTTTCAGACTTTTCTTTTCTAGTATGTAGCACTCAACAGGAGATAAACTTCCATCATATTCTCACTGCTGGACCTAACATCAAAACGGGAGGTGAGAGACTCCTGTGCCATGGTTCTGATTGAGACATGGCTGAACCCTGTTCCTGATTATGTAGTTAGTCTGCATGGGGTTAATCACAATGTGGCTACACAGGAGCCAAACATTTTGTGGTAAATTCTGTGGAGGTGGGTTTTGTATTTACACAAGCAACAGATGAAGTACAAACACAGCAGCGGTCTTAAGTCAGTGTTCTCCTGAAACAGAGCTGCTCACTGTTAATGGCAGACTGTGTGACCTGCCCAGAGAATTTACCACTATGAATATTATGGCTGTAAACATCCCCTCCAGTGCAAACACAAAATAGACCCTGAGTGATCTTTAAGACCTTCACTGAGTTTCAAGCCACTTTGCCAGAGGGCGTTTGTATTGTAGTAGGAGAATTCAATCAGGCAAACAGGCCTCGTTCCCAAGCCCACTGCTGTTGACAATGCTGACACATGACTGCAGTGCTGCACTTGCTTCTAATCACATCATTAAGTATGCAGATGACACAGCAGTGGTGAAGATAGTTGGCAGCATCATGTTTCTGGGAGTACAGATAACTGATAGCCTGGGCTGGTCACTTAATACAGCATCAGTAGTTAAACGGGCTCGGAAGCACCTGCATCGCTGTGCCGGATGAGGAGAGCACACCTTCCCCTCCCCATTCGCTCCACTTACTAATGAGGCACCTTGAAAACTTGCTGAGTAGCTCTATCTCCATCTTATTCTGCAGCTCCAGTGTCTCAGAAAAGAAATTGCTGCAGAGCTCATCAGAGCCTGCAACATCATCAAAGATTACCATACTACTTGGTACACCAACTTTCTCTGCTCCACATCCCTGCCAACCTGAGGAGGGGCATCAAACAGGCCAAGGAGGCTTTCAGGTGAATGATAGAGGGCTTCCTCACTTCCTCAGGTGTGGAGGGGCATCCAAACGCTCACCAACTACAAAGGCCAGAGCCCCCCAATCCACAACAGCAGCATCCAACTTGCAGAGGATCTCACACCTTTGCCCAATATGATCACTACTACAGCTCATTCAGCACCATAAGTCCAGACATCCTAATCACCAAAGGTCCAGTTTCTTCAGGACATAGGTAGAGACTTCAAGAGGCATAGACGGGTCCTCTCCCCTCTTATAGGAGGAGAACAGATGGAATCTGTCTCAATCTTTAATTTGTTGGGCACCCACATCTCCAATGGTCTTATGTTAATGTTGGATCCATAACACCAACACCCTCGTAAAGAAGGCTCGGCAGGTCCCATTTTAGGTCCCATTTTAGAAACTGCAATGTTTTAAAGTTTACCTGCACACAAAATATGTAACATAATAATAATAATAATAATAATAATAATAATAATAATAATAATAATAATAAAACAATTAAACCCTTTAAATGTATTAAATGTAATGTGATTTTTTCAAAGAAAAAATTTCTTAAATGCAAGAGTATAAAAATGATGTCAAGTACAGTCAAAGGTCAAAGTCAAATGAATTGCAATGTATACGCAATTTTTATTCTGTCTTGTTATGTCAAGCTTTCTGACATTATTAGGAGGCAGGTTTTTGGATGTTAGACATTAATATTAATACTGAGTCAGTGTCCAGCCTAACAAAGTTAACCAGGTGCTCTGTTAAAGGACTCTGGCTTGCTTTTTCACAGTAAAGGTTTTAATAGTCATTAAAGGAACAGGCGCTGCTGTTTTAGATTCTAGAAACCTGAGCTCCCCGTCTCGGTAAGGTCTCGGCCTCATTGCTCTTTGCGGTGTGTAAGCAGACTCCACGTTTTGGTTTGGTGAAAAGCTTGCGTTTACAGAGTTTATCATACTAACCACTGTCACACCGTCGTTGAGCAGCGACTCTCCAAACACTATGATGAAGAGGACTTCGTTAACGTGGACCTGATCAAACACAGCTAAGACAGCCACGGGGTCCACAGCAGCCATCAGACTTCCGAAAAGAAGATACTGCAGCAGACCGATGTCCAGGTCACCTGTACAGATACAGAGGGCCGGAAATACAATAAACCTAGCTCATATTTTCTGTAGCTGAGAATTACAAAGTAAGCATTCTAATTCATTAATAGAATAAATCGTGTCAAATCTCTCTCCAGTCTCGTCCAGTGCAGTGGACAAGGCCTAAGCATAAAATAAACTTATTAAGTCTGCATTTGGAGAAAGTTTGGGAATTAAACCAAATTAGCAGCTACTGATGCTGTTGTTTAATGTATTCAAACAAAGAATAAAAGTAAAGTATTAAAGGATTTCTGTAATACTAAAGAAAGCTCTTTTCAGGCAGCTTGCTTAAGTCATGTGACTGTACAACTTTCATTTGTTCCTCATGTCTTTGTTCCAGAACAATCACAGCCTTCAGGGGTAAAATATAAAGCCAGGTTTGAAGTGCTTATGTTTGTGTCATTTGTGTCACAACAATGTGTGTGTTATGATGGTCTGTCTCGCTTCCATTGTTAATTGCCTTTTTTCCCACTATTTGTCTGCTACACGTTGAGAAACATGAATTTGTATTTTAGTTTTTTGTTATATAAATAAAGTTTTTTTTTTCTCTGTTTTGTGCAGCCAGCAAGATTTACTGTGCATGTTTTATGCACAGTTCAATTATTACGATGCAGAGTTTGTGCAAAACGTTTTGTGAGTTAAATGTGAATATTTAAAAAGAAAATAGCTCTAATTAGCCTCCAGTTTATGCACACAGCTTAATAACCAAGCTTTCTATCAGTAGCTGATAATGTAGAAATCCACCCTTTTTTCCAAATTTGGCCCCTTCTGGATTATAATAACCAACATGCTGCCGACCAAATCCTTATCAGTCAAGCCTCAAAATGTGGATTGTTAGTTCCAACGAAGTAACTAACTGATATTTTTAAATGTCTCCTTCTTTTACTTAGATTTTTAATAATCCTTTAGTATGCTAAGCAACACTACAAATATCACAAATCGTAGCTATCAGTCTAAACATCTCAGAATGGATCGCTTCCTCTGTGTGAGTCGCAGCAGCAGGTGTGCTGAAATGGAATAAATCAAAGATCCTCTCTTACCCATGGCTCCTCCCATGTGACACCCCCATAGCGACAGCCCCAAACTGGCAGCATTCCAGCAGGTCCCAATGACGGCATGGATCAAAATAGCACCCAGGTTTGTGAAGAAGAGCTTGTTTGGCATGTGGTAGCCTGAATCCAGAATGATTTGAGGCAACAGAAAATAGAAGAAGACTGTTGGGCTCAGTGAGAAGGTCTGCACCTTGTCTGCACCCCAAATCATGCCACCCAAAATGAAACCAGAGCAGATGAGGAGGGCACTCTCAGGTATGTAGTTGGTGACATTATGGTTGGCCTCAATGACTGAGAGGAGAAAAAAGATCAAGACAAAGACAAGAACCATCAATCAATTGTAACAACCTTTGATTTTAAGCCGCTCTTCTTCCTGTCAGGTAGGAGCTGGCAAATGTTCAAAGCTCAGTTCACTTCAGTTCACTTAAATATAAAACTCTAGTTGACCATTTGCAACTTCTGCAAATGATCAACTTTTGCTCATCTAAAAAAAAGCATCTGGGGATATGAGCAACACGTGAGGTGGTTGGATCGTGTGTGAAACCTGTCTGCATAACCAAAGATAACCACATGTCTAATGAGCTCATAAAGTGTCACTAAAATTTATTTAACAATAAAAACTACTGAACCACAGTGTACACCTGTTCTTACCCCACAGGGTTGCACTTATGTTGTGCACATTTGTATTTAAAATTAGTTGAAGATTAAATTCCAAAAACTATAGTCCCCAATACAGCTTACATTTGTGCAAGCACAGAATCAAAATGAATATTTTTGCTAATATCTACTTCAGTGAGGATGAAAAATGAGAATTTTTGCTTTCAGGTTTTTGAGTTAATGTACAAATTTGTGTGTCATTCCACACATATAGAAAGCAGCTAAAACAATCATAAAGCTTCCAATTTTATATATATGTAAGACTCATATCACAGTAAAAGTGAATATATTCTCCCATTACTAAAACATATTCACTCAAGGACCTCCAACAAGTTAAAGATTCTCTCCACACCATGCAAAGGTTAATCACTTTTTTAAATTTAACTCAAAGGAACCTCTTGTAAAAAAAAAAAAATACTGGAAATCTATAAACAAACAAAAAATAATGAGGTAACCAAAACACTTACACTTTTAAACTCTCACTTTTGATCACTAACTTGACTCCTTATAAAACCACATCTGTGCAGTCTCTCGTGAAGTAGATCAGCTGAGATTTTGAGGAGTTAGCTTTACGTTTAAAAAGGTTTAACTCAAGAAAAGGATGACCAAACAGACCAGCAACAAGAGCCAGACATGCAATTATCTAGTGACCAGCTCTAAATTAAAAACCAGTAGACTATAGGCCGACTGACCATACGCAAGATTGCAGTGTGTGACTGTCTGGTTTAGTTGTTGCTTTGACAATTTATTGCTTTGTTTGTATTTTCTGGGCACGTCCACGGGGATTTGTGACACAGTCAGTGATGGAACAGAGGTCATTGGATACCTGTTAAATTTGTGGGTTTAGGAGCATTTTCACCAGCTTTCCTTTAAAAAAGAAATACATTCAAACATATACTGTAAATGAGATGGAGCCAAAATCCATCTGTGTATACCGTATAATGTGTGGAAAAGTTGCAACAGGTGTGTGGTGTCACGGTCACTGAGTTTTGTTGTGTAGACTTCTTATCGAGTCTGTAATTAATAACCTAATTTGGTTTTATCTTATTTTTTCCTCTATTCTAGGTTTGTTTATTTTCTCTTGATTTCTGTCTCTTCCATAGTAGTCCAGGGGTTTTGAATTCCATTGAGTTTTTTTAACTCCATTTCCGATCAGGTTTCCTGTCACCCTCTGTGTTACGATTCTTAGTCCCCAGTTCTTATTACTTTGGAATTTACATTGTTATTTATATTTACTTTATTGTGTTTTGGTTCAGTTTAGCCGTGCCTTTTTGTATCTTCTTGTCAAATTCCTGCCTCTGTGTAACGTATTTTCCTGTTGAGTCATTTGAGGTTTCATTTTGTTACAGTAGTTTCTGGTCTCCTGTGTGCTGTGTTTAGTTTTACCTCCTTGATTAGTTTCTGTCATTCCTGACCTTCCTGCATATATAACCATGTCCTTGTCTTTGTTATTTGTTATTGTGTGTATTTACCCTGCCTTGTGTGTTTCTCCTTTATTGCTCCATGTCAGAGTTTTCATTTGACTGTCAGGCAACTTTGTATTTTAATTGTTATGCCCTGAACTAGCAGGACATAACCCCTTTGGACTTTGTCACTTTCTGCCTTTCAGCTATAGCAAAACTGCTTCCTGCTCAAACCTGGACAGTTTCATTCTGACTACTGGAAACATAAATAACAATGCTGTTGGTATTGGGAGAATTCAGATTCAGACTATAATTAGGGTCTGTGGACAGATACAAGGTTTTAATGTACTAACTCAAGGGTCTTGAATGTGAGAGCTTCATGCATCCCATGGATTGTGAAAAAAATGTATGTATAAATATGGAATTAAACCTTTTTTTTTTTTCATTTAATTGCATTTGTCATAGTTCTAAGTGATTTTTTTGGTTTGTTTTTTTCTTTTTACATTTTACAAATTTAAATGTGTCCCCAGTGACCCCAGTAACCTATATTTCACAACAGCAAAACAAAACTGGAAATTCTGTTTTAGATATGAGTTCTTTGGGGGAGTCTGAGGTCACCATTTCTACGGCAGAGAATCAAGGGTCCTTCTGTGGGAGACTAGCTGCAGTGGCATTGACGAGCTGGCCAAAGGTTTTCGTTAACCCACCCTGATCAGCAGAGCTTCAGGCAGAGGAGGCTGCTGCAGTGATGAGGCTTTGTCCAGCTGTCCACATATCCATCAGTATTCAGTAGTGTGGACTTGGACGGCCGATGTTGGAACGGCGATGATGAGATCAACATTTCCTCCTAGATGAAGTAGTTGGTTGGGCTAGAGAAAGCTCCTCGCCCTCAGCCAACATATTCATCAGGCTGGAAGCTGTGCCAGCTGTCAGAGAGCCAGAAGGGCTGGATGGATATGTGGACAGCTGGACAAACTATTTTTAAGATCATCTCGTCCATGTCTGCTTCTAATCACCAGTACTGCAACCTCTCCTCGACCATCCACGCTGCTCTGCCTTAGTCTGCAGCTTCACATCCTCAGCTCTGTACCTCACGATCAAAAAAACAGTCTGATTTGGCTGCTATGCTCTGAATTTCACTTTTTATTTGATTGAAATAATTCTCTACACTCTGGACGCACTGCACAGACAGTGTTGTGCTGAAAAGGGATTTCTTGTATTTGCCAAAAAGTGATTTTCCATATTTAAATTACTTTTAATGGCTTGTTGGCCTATGATATGTGAAACATATGTCAAATGTATCCCTCATGTCCATCCATCCATCCATCCATTCGCTTCTTCTTATCCTTTTCAGGATTGTGGGGGGCGCTGGAGGTTATGCCAGCTGTCAAAGGGTGAGAGGCAGGGTACACCACACTCACTTCCACATTCACACCTATGGGCAATTTAGATTGATCAATGAACCTACCCCCACTAACTATCCCTCATCCTCGAGCTACAAACAACATTCTTGTCACAAGGTAGAAGCCACAATTTTTTGGCAAAGTGATTTTTAAATATCCTTCTTTTATCCAGTTAAATTGACAATGACATTACTTTTTTTTAAAGAGAGAGAGACCTGGCCAAGAGGGCAGCAGAAATTGCAAGAAGTATAACAATAGTTCTGTAAAGATATTTCAACTGGCTATAAAGGACTGGATTAGTTATATTGTAGGTAAAATAACCCAGTGGGTAAAATACTTGCAAAATAAGTCATTTCTTTAGTTTATAAGTAACCCCTTTGTAAATCCTATTTGCTAAAGTCTATTTTCTCTATTTATTTAGTCTATTTATAAGTAAAGGTATTACAAAAAAAAAAAATTACACACGTTGGAAATCACTTTTTGGAAGACAAAAAAAGAGTGGTGTATACCAAAAAGTGCCTACCCATTTATAAACTGCTATAAATAACTTGTTGGCCTATAATATGTCAAAACAAATGTCCCCGTATCCTGGGACACGAAAACTTATGATGTCATGTCATCTGGAGCCCCAAACAACATTCCAGTCACAAGGAAAAAGTTATAATCAGTTTTTTTTTTTAAGTGAGTTTAACATCACCTTTATTTATCCAGTTAAAAAGTCTCATTGACGTTGAACATTTCTTTTTAAAGGGTAATCTGGCCAAGAGGCTTACAGGAACTGCAAAAAATATAACAATAGTACTATAAAGATATTTTAAGTGGCAAATATAATTGGATTGGTTGTAATGTAGGTGCAATAACACGGGGTCATAAAGATGAAAAAAGGGCATGTTATATATAACCCCTTTGTAAAGCCTGTTCATCAAACTCTATGTAAACAATATAGATAAGGACATTACACACGAAAACTCTGCAAGTCACTTTTTTTTGCAGGCGCTCACTTTTTGGCAGATATTCCGCGAGTTCTGTCTGATCGAGTATCCTGCCAAAAAGGGATCGTCTGCCAAAAAAAAAAAAAGTGATTTCCTATGTTTTTATGTGTTTTTAACGGCCAATATTTTTACTTATATTTGTAAATAGACTCTCCGCAGACTTGGCTCGTGTTAGAGCGGCCATTAAGTAAAAGTCGGCTTAAACAATAAGTGTTGCTAAGCAACGCGGCATGCCGGGTTGCCGATATTTCACATTGATTTCTATGAGGTTCAAATATCGTCCAATCGTCCATATCGTCCGTCACACATCCAAAAATTCACTATATGATGAGTAAGCTCAGGAAAAGCCGTGAAATATAAGATGATGGGGTTTTAATTAAACAGAATTGCATGATTTTTTAAAATTCTAGTTGTGGGGTTAATCTTAGATTGCAAAGTGCCCTGAGAGGACATATGTTTGGCTCTATTTAAATATCACTAAAGTGTATAAGCACACACGTTTTTATACATTTAAGAGCTCTTACCTGAGAAATAATAAAAAATAATAATAATAATTGCACCAGTGACAAAAATACATGTTGTGCATAGCCCTAAACTAGAAACAAATTATTACTACTTCAAAAAAAAAAAATTTTTTAAATATCTTGGGTGCAGAGGATTATTTTTAATAGATTTCAGAAAAGGAGAGCACTTCCATGAATTGGACTTACGGAGTTTGCAGAGCCAGCAAACCAAAACCCACAGGGCCACCAGGTACTGTACGCTGATGTGATCCCACTTCCAGGTCACAATAGGCAGTGTAGTGATGGGCGGCCCTCCATGACCACCTTCTCCAGTTGTGTTAGAGCTTGAGGCCGTCCCAGTTTCTGTTTGTGTATTTCGGGTTTTTGCTTCTTCACTAGCCAGGCTCAAGCCTCCACACGCCATCAGCAGCATGCAGAGAAAAAGTGTAAATTGCCAAAGAGTTGCCATTATTGGATAAAATACCTTAAAACTTTAATCAAACTGCTATTTAGACTGTTGATGAAAATGCTCGAGTCAGCCTCAGACTGCAGCTCAAAGTCTCATTTCCTTTTTCTGCGCCTTCTTCTTCTCACTCAGATCTCTGTCACTCTCTTCACATATGTATCCATATCCTCATCTGACCAGAGCATGGTATCCACTTTCTGCTCTCCTCTCTGTCAAGGATACAGCTTTTACAGCAGGTGAAGCTCAGCCCATTATGATGCTGGTCTTTCTCCACCCACTTTTGTACCCAGACCAGCAAGTTTAGTCACGTTACTCAGTGAATTCTATGAATGTCTGTATTAGCAAGTTTTCATAAAATTTCTACTTCTCAGATGGAGTTGATGGAAATATTTTGGAAGAAACTCCTTATACATACTTATGAAGCTCTTTTTTGAAGCAGGTGTATGTGTACTTTGATTTTATTATGTCATAAGTTGAGATGATTCATGTTTTTAAAAAATAAAATGAAAATTTTGATCCAATGTAATATATGATATCCATACATTACAGATATAACTAAGCTGTTGCATATACTGATCAGGTTTAATGTCACTTAAACTTGGATTCAAGTGTTTTACTGGACACAAGGACCTGTGCTGATTGGAGAGAAACTATGTTATAAACACATGTATTGTGATATACAAGCATGAGCGAAAATTTAAAAATGTGTACAATGATTTGTGTGTAACTTTTGAGTTACAATAAGCAAATAATCTTTGCTTCAAAAAGCGTCCTGTCTAAAAAGTATTTGTGACAGTGTTTCCTGAAGCCAGAAGCTTTTGGCTCTCAGCTAACATCAGGTTAGATGATGGCAATCTGTGTTTTAACTGAACCAAAAACTTTTTGGTTTAACATTAAAAAGAGCAAAAATATATTAAAAATATCACAACAATGAGCAATTTTTAAAATTCACCCCGCAAAGTTGCTCAAAGGGCAGCAAATCAAACACAACATAAAAATGTCAGCTTTAAAAGAAGTGTCATGAGCTGTATGTAGAGTGTAGGAGTGCTGAGGACCCAAATACAAACAAGTGAACTGAAAATACACCCCTTATTATTCTGATGCAATGTCCAGTACAGAAATCAATAAATCTACTGTAAAACATAGTGGAAACCAGTACAAAGAAGCTAAAACAACGCAGTTCAGAAACACAAGCTTTGATATTCAGAATGTGTTCGAACAGTGTCTTTACTATTACAACTATGCAGACAAGCTGTGAAGGAAGAGAGAAGACCTGTCTTATTGCGCACAATAACAAATACTGGACAGGAAAGCAGGAAGGCACATGCCATAGTGCCATTTAGCATGTGGTCATCCAATCACCCTGTGGGCTAAAGCGGCACCCGGAAGACCTGCCTTAATCATATCTTTTAATGTTTCTTGTAAGCACTTTAAACTGCCTTCTAGAAAATGCAGCATAAAACTTCTGTATTGCCGACAATAGCTGAAGATTTAATTTATATATCTATCTTAAATCTTACATAAGACTTTGGTTGGTCCCTGTTACTTATTCTAAGAAAATATAACAGAGAATAGTGGGGAATATGGATTAAGCTTCACTACTGAACAATTAAACCCTTCTTTTTGAGCAATGTCCTGTGACGGAGTTGAAAACCATTTCTCTACTACATACAAACTCACAATTGAAAATATTCAGCTGTGTGTTGAAGAGCTTATGTACGAAACACATTCACTCTTCCTGTGATGTGTTTCAATAAAGCCTGTGGAAAAAGGAGAAAAGTGATGAAACTTCATGCAAAATAAAATTCAACAGTAGTTGGCACGCAGAGGAAGCAAACACAGATATTCTTTTGATAAGATAGATATTTGTGCAGGTTTGCAGAGACTGATAGTCTGAACCGTGAAGGGAGACTGGGAGGACAGTTAATGGTTTACAGTGGCACAAACCACTGAGCCTCCATAAAAATGTTATTTCCTTTTTGAGCCAGCACAATTTGTAATTATAAAGCAATAGTTTCATAAAGTGTTAATAGGTAATAAAGTTACTGAACTATTTTAAACCGCTTGCACTTGGGGGGGAGGGGGAGGTCACGCTGTCAAGAGAACATGAGGAACAGTCAGATTTGGCATGGTTTAGTCCAAGTTCATTAAAAAAAACACAAAAAATTAAAAAAAAATGCTGGTTAAAATAGAAGCAGGATTTAAAACAGCAGACAGATGATTTTATTACTGTATACTTGTTGAATAAACTAAATACACATCCTAAAGCTGACTAAATCTAAACCTACCAGCCATTCAGAATTAGCTTGCTTTGACTGTTTTTATTACACGTATCAGAAAAGAAAACACCTGTAAATATATTGCATGTCGTTACCATAATGCCATCTTTTTGATTTTATGTGTTTTTGTATCAGGACCATTAAGAGCCTTTGTCTCCCGGTTTTCTTCAAGCTGATGTTAGCTGAAAGCTGTTAACTTTGTGATGAACTCAGAATGTTCAAAATTTTCTGAATTAGCCATGAATCAAAGACTAAACACAGCCTACCGTTATCAGAGAAAAGTAAGAATTACATCTCAGTGCTATTCTGCATTAGCTCGATTGCATCTGTAGTCAAATCTAAAGACATTAGTTTACAACAACAATGCAGGAGTACAGAGGAAGCCCAGAAACACAGAATGTCAATTTACATGAAGCAGACAATGTGAAATTTGTCATATCAGGAGATTTATGACTCACAGCTAAAGCTGTCTAGCATGACCGTATTCAGGCTGTCTCCATGAAATCATACCGAGTCGAAAGTAGAAAAATGTAAATCTTCCTAGGTTTTTCTTCACAGAGACGCCCCTTATGAAGTTATTCATGAAGCCATTAATTTTCCAAAACAAACAAGCATTGCCTTGTAACCTTTTACATCAAAATATTGAGAATGACAAAAGCAACCGTGATGCACTCTATAGTGCAATAAACGGGAAGCATAATAGCATAATAGGTACTTTAATGCCATTTCTCCAACAGATCAATAGAGATCAAGTTAATCAAAAGCAATGCACTGGTGTCCTAAGCAGCTGGCATTAAGTGTTATGAAAGTTTTTGTAGCATGTGTTGTGCTAGAATTAACTTTACATACAGTTTCCATCACATCATCTTTGAATGCAGTATTTAAAGGGGACTTTCCTGGCTAACAGAAAGAACACAAGCAGAGCAGATCTTTCCTGTAGAATTGTTTGTTTTTAACTATGCGTGTGTGTGTGTGTGTGTGTGTGTGTGTGTGTGTGTGTGTGTGTGTGTGTGTGTGTGTGTGTGTGTGTGTGTGTGTGTGTGTCTGTGACACAAGTGATAAAAGGGCCGAGAGGTGATTTGACTCATCGACTCATCACCTGTGCTCCCATGACCCCCTCTTCTCCTATACTTAACAAAAGTTGTGTTGAGCCTTCATTGCCACTATACAGGCGTGTTTAGGTGACAGAGGTTTATAAATGAACCGTGGTTTAGATGCGGCGATTCTTTTTCCGACTTCTTAATAAAGGCTTGCCTTTCAACCAATAAATCACCCATATCAGCTCCTATTGTCATTGGAGTTAACGTTTGAATACCTTTGATACCAGGATCAGGAATCAATTAGGAATTTTCTAGAAACGTTTTCAGCACAAAGGTAAAAAAAAAAAAAAAAGAAAGAAAAAACTAAAAGTGGTTAACGCCTTTCTTTGTTTCTTTGTAACTGTATTTTCCCAAAGAGGGACATGGACAAGCCCTTCCGGTGATATAAAATAAACAAGTGATGTTAAAGGTTTTACAATGTCTTTTAACTTGACAAGGCTGAAGCCCATAACTTCATGTTAGTGATAATGATTGACTATAACCAGTAGTTTCTCTTTGGCACCGTAAAAAGGATTTGTTTAACAACCAATCCTCAGAACAATTGCAAAGTCAAAGGAACGGGAAGACCTGAGGAGAATTCTTGTGAAGGGTCAACACTAGGATGGACTCCACCTTGGGAGTTGAGATAAAATTTTCAACAGGTTTGGTTACAAGCAAGCAGGGGCGGTCCTAGCCTGTTTGGTGCCCTAGGCGAACACTCCCTCTGCCCCCCGCCCCCCCAACACACACACACAACAACACAACCTCAGGTCCCGGCACGTCTTATGCAGTGGAGGCGTGATGAACTGATGGAGCTCCGCTGTGTCAGCCTCACCTGCAGCCGTGCACAAATCAAAGTGAAGTAAGAAAAACCGGAACAAACGCACACTAATCATGAAGCTACAGAGCCCCTTTACTCACATGGGTAAGGAAAATTTTCATTGCATGTCCACATGTTGATGTGGCAACAAGACATATACAGCAGGTTACCCCACAGTCAGACGCCTGCCATCTACCAGCTAACTGTGTGAAGAGGAAAAAATGCTATAAATGTCTGTTTTTTTGTTAATGCGCATGCTCAGTTTATGGTAGCAGCAACTTAATCCAGTGCTAAGCACAGTGAGACTGATTACGTGGACATTCGTAGAAACCTTCTTGTCTGGGAGGAGGGATGGCAGACTCAGTCACTGCTGACAATAATTTTAACCTGTTACATTCTTTAGAAAAGATGATCCAGTGAAAGAGCCTTTGAAAAGGGGTCTCTTCACATGTAAACAACAATTATTTAATACAGATTTAATAATTAAAGCCTCTCATTTTCCACCTCATTTACCCTTTAATTTACGACTGATATGTTGAAATGGTTTGACACACAGTGAAATGTTTTAATGCACAGCAGAAAGTGCATATTAACTGTGACTGCAAGTAAGTCACAGAAAGGTTATGCAACTTTGCACTGGGCTGAACAAGATTTAGAATGATTCTCATTTGCCTCAGGCCTGACAGGTCTTAGGGCAATTCTAAAATAGTTTCTGAAATACATTTCATAACTGGATATTTTTGGAAGATAATCAAACCTGCAGAGTAGATGGGTGCCATGCCGTAGGTAAGCCAGGCGCTTGCTTCGTTCTTGTGTCGTCAATAGAGCTGCACGGGCTGCCATCAAAAGCTGACAACAGTGGGAGAGGTGATGCTGCTCAGAAGGAGCTGCAAAACAAACCTTCTTGGATGGGAATAGAAGTGGCTGTTGTACCAGGGATACCTCTAACTCTAAGGCCCTTGATTCCAAATGGTTTCCGGTAGGATGAAGCAAAAATACATGACGAGT